CAAAGTTAAACCGGCCAGCGTCCGCGCCGGCTTTATAATCAACGACAAGGAAAGAAATTCCGCGCGCCTCAAACCGTGCGGGCCCACACACTCTCTACTTCTAGACCTCATAGCCAACCTATAGTCACCACACTGCCGCAAGTCGTGAAGCCTCCTTTACAATTTCGGGTAGAACTTGTTTTTTGTCACTTGCAAAAACCAGGGCGGATACCCTTGTAAGGGTATTCGCGCCAACAGCTTACCGGACCACATTAAGCGACGTCCCCGTCGCTTTGCAAAATCGAGACGCTATCAGATTACCCAAAATGTTGACGAAAGAGGAACCAATCCGATTAGCCGACAAACACAGGGTAGAGGCCTCCATCAAACCATGCCTCCACAACTATATGCTGCCAGGGTATTAACCTGGTTCTCCATTGTCCTGACACTAGGACGCCGGTGTATTACGCGTCGATACTACAGCATAAGTTCCAAAGGCCACCTCAAACCGTCCTCTTCCCTTCGCCCTAGACAAACGCCGGCTTCTCGTTGAGTGTCCCGGCTAGACTCTATCTCGTAAGCATTGTCATACCCAGGGACGCGGGCCTTAAATGAGACCTCAGAAGGCAAATCTCCCCTCCCTTGCGAAAATCCTCACAATCAAACATATATTTATACGTATATGAATCTCCTCTGAGCTCTTTCTGCAGTCTAGTACAGAGATGTTAGGTCTCCATCCTGGCCCACCATAGTCTGGTTGATCGAGCCAGATCTACGGCCTACCGCATTGTTATCTTGACGGCAGTTCCTTCGTTGGTTACGCAACGATAGGTTTTCTCCTGATAAGCATACAATCCAGATTCCCCAAAGTCTCGACTCACATCCCCCGCCATCCCACCGGAGTAATTTCCCTGAGGCATGCATGACCCCTTAAACTCTTACCCCGTTGGTAGACGTGGGCCCGTAGCCAGGTTGTGCTGGCTTGCAGTCATCCAATAGGGGTTGCGCCCTAGAGGTGCTAACCTTTACCGTTTAGCTTGGTATTTCCCAATATGCCTAAGGATTAGCACAAGTGTCTGAACGGTGGGTCGCAAAACAGACCACAGGCCCACTGCGGGACTACGCAGGGGTCTGTCTCACTTTAAAGGCGTTTACCAGTTCCCTACGGGACAACATAGGAAGCATGGCTCCTTTTCACAATCACAAACAGATTCACCGCCACGCTCATACACAAGGTCGTGGGCTACTGACTTGATCAGAGACAACAGCCCACACATCCCACGACATCCTAATGCACTGAATTGCGACCTTCTCAATTCCACCAATGATCCAGTCTGTAATTCTGGTTCCTCTCGTCAGGCTTTATCAACTCAAACACTGCTCATCATGCCTTTAAATCTGTCAGCCAGCTTTCGCACGAAGGGGGTCTCTCTCCATAGGTCTCCCAGCCATCCCTTCTCTTTACAGGGTGGACTATCACGCGACCTGAGTTACATTGCTGTCAATAAACAACACTCCCACCTTCCATAATCCGAAGGGGGTCCCAACCATAGAACAACTCACTGAGGGCCTACTCAAGGGTCCTCTTTGTGAGCTCAAATGCGACATAACTCAAACAAGGGGACCAACTTATGGGTCCTTTTCACAACCTGGCCATAAACATTCGGCATGATAAGCATTCGAGCCTTATAGGCTCGCAAGACCCCTTAGGGTCCTTACACATCTGTCACAAACAGCCGCACTGCCTCCCCTTATACTCGGTTGTTTCACCCGCTCATGGGCAGGCCGTACGAGTATACCGAAGAGTAGACGGCAATCACAATCACATAGTACACATACATGAGATGTATCCCACACATCTCTCACACAAAACCCTCATACATTGGGATAAAGCCACACGTGTGAGAGTGATCGTGATCGTCACAAGAGTAAGCCCCACAAAGTCTGGAATCACAACATACTCGGGACAAAATATCTCCCTCAAGCCTTAATACAACACTCAACTCAAGCTCTCACACACACAACTCGCAGGATGTAATTAGGAATATGATGCCTGCCCCAGTGAACAACTCAAACACTCAGTTTACCATTCCACTCTACAGGGTAGACTCACGCCCTAGGTGTTATGGCTCTCAGGATCCAATCAGAAATGTAAGCAAGGTTTCCAGAACTCCAGAACTAATGTACAATCACATAGTCACAGGTATCTTACAACCATATCTCATCCGCCGAACTTGTATCACATACAAAACCCAAAAACCAATCAAGCCCTGCCATCTATTTATGTACAACTTGACAGGACTCTCGCGGCGAACTCAAACGTGCACACCCCTAGAACCCATTCAATCGACTCAGAGTATGTACATCCCTAAACCGATCTCTGTGTGCAGAGGAACCCTGGTCCTACTGTCATTTGGACAGACTAGCCCCTACTCGCTCATGACCTCCTGGTTCTGTCTATACAACTGGGCCCTACCCCCATCTGGAGCCCGCTCTACCACTCGCCCTTGTCTATCGTACATCCTTCCACCACTCTCCGTCACTCTCCCAGCCGCCTTCTCCTTAAGGAACTTTGGGCACTCAAGCGCCCTATGTATGCCATCCTTGCAGAAGAAGCACTGATCGTCTGGCCTCCCTCGACATCTCCTTTTCTTTTTTTCTGGGTCTCTGGCAATGACGGTGCCTCACTGGCCTCCCTGCTCATCTCGTGGCTCTGGGGCATACTCCATGACTCTGCCGGTCCCGCCTCCATCATCTGAGTACTCGGCCCTGCTCGCATCTCATCTCCCTCGGGTCGGTACGCGGAAGTGTCCAATCTCAGCGGCCTACCCTCGCGGATCCCTCCCATCGCAGTCATCTCCTCGTCCCCACGTAGGTCAGGAGGCTGGGGAATCATGGCAGTCGATGATCCGCTCATAACCTCCTGCTGCTGCTCTGAGATGTGCTCTCCTGAGTCATTCCCAGTGGCCCAAGAGCCTAACCTCGTCCTCAGCCCTCCTATCTCTGGCATGCGCTCCGGGGTCTCCTGTCTCTGAGGCCCTCCCGACGGCATGTCCAGTTCCATGGCTGCCACTAACTCATCCAGTCGAGATGCCTCTCCCCCCGTTGCCTCCGGCTCAGTGGATGCCGCAGCTCCCGTGAGGGCACCCTCCTGCACCTCCAAAAGGATCATAGGGGACTCCTCTGTGGGGCCCCCCTTCACCACTGGAGGTTGGGGTCTTTACGCCGGCTCGTCCCTAGGAGTCTCAATCGTCATAGGGGTGGCCTGCTGCGAGGCCAACTCCGTGGGAGTCCTGAAGCTGAACCTCCCCTCCTCGGCCTCCTGCTTTGCTGCCGCCTCTGTCGAATCCAGGAACACCTTCCCCATTCCCTCTCGTTGTGGCGTCTCTATCGTTCCTTCCCGGACAAAGAGCCCCTGTACCTCCTTCCCCTGGATACCATACTGGATCCGCTCCGTCCAGTCGACCACCTTAGTGGCCGAGATCCTCTCTACCATCGCCGCCATATCTTGGAGCCTCTTCTTCCATTCCACCTCTTTGGCCTTCATGCGGGACCTCCACGCTTGGTTCTCTGTCCTCTCTTCCGCCAACTGGGTGGACAACTGCCCCACCTTTAACCTCGAGGCCGCTAACTCATCGCTAAGCAAGGAGTACCGCTGGAAGGACGAGATTGCCACCTCACCTATCCTCTTATCCACATGCTCGATTGCCATCCTGGCGGCTGAGAACCCCAAGTCCACTGTTTCTCGTGCCTCGTCCACCCTCACGTCCTCCTGCCTTGCCTCTCGCGCGCTTGATCGGTCAGCATCTCGCTTACCCTCATAACTGGCCCAAGCCTCGCTAATCCTCTGTTCGCTCGTCGGAGGGTCAATCGGTGGCTTCGGCGCTTCCCCTGCGGCCTCCATCCTGAGCTTTTCCTGGTATAACTCCTCAAGACGTACCTGCACCCTCGCGCGCTTCTCTTCTCTCGTCTCCCCCGATGGCCTCCTTACCCTCGCCTCATGAGCCTCTCGCGATGGGCCTCTCTCACTCGTCCCCTCCTCTGCAGGTGGCGGCCCTGGCGGAGGCTTCCCGGATATCGGCACCTTCTCGTCCATACGTTCTCCTGTAGGCTCAGTCAGTTGTGGCGCCACAGTAGTAGGTGTCCTCGCCCTCTCGCCCTCCTGTAGCCCCGCCCGCGTCGGAGGTGGCGTAATGGCTCCCAATGGCGGTACTGGAATCTCCTCGCTACCCGGCTCGGGGATTCCCTCAGGCCAATACTGTGGTACCTGCTCCGGAATTGGGGTAGGAGGAGTGGTATCATCTCCAACAGTAATAATCCCCTCAGTCTGTGGCTCCTCGGGTCCACGAGGCCCCGCCTCAGGCCGCTTTTCCTCCGGCTCCTCCTCTACTGGTTCATACCAGGTTGGTCCACCCTGGTCCGCTCCCAGCTGTGACGCCCCCCACTGGGACGCATCGAGGTGAGCCTCCAGCCTGTCGAGCGGCGTCCTCAATGGCACAACCTCCCCCTCCTCTGGTAACGCAGGCGACAGACCCCGTAGATCACTGCCCGTGATCCGACGAAACTCCACCCGCTTGAGTCCGTGAGCAGGGGGTAGCTCCGCTGCCCGTGCCGGCCCCGCGGCCTGAACTGGCTCCACCGTCTGGGCGGCCTCCGCTAGCCCCTCTCGCTGTGCCAAGGCCTTTCGACCCCCTCGGGTCGTAGTGGCCCCTCTCGCCTCTGGGTCTCGTGGCCTCTTACTCCTCTGCCGCCTCTCCACCCTGGGCTCTGGTCTCTCGGCTCCAGTCGTGGGAAGGCCTGTCTCAACTGAGCCGGGCAGTCCTCCCAATCGCATGCCCTGTCCCGAATCTGCCTTGCCAAGGGCCTCTTTGCCCTCCGCGTCCAGAGGGGCAGCGTCTGCATCCAGTCCTCCTGCCCAGCCCCCTGGTCGCGCATGTATTGCTCATAGGCCGGGATGAACTCCTCCGCATTGCCTTCCTCCAATCGAATAGGCAGCCCATCCGGTCCCAACGGCGAAGCTCTCAGCATCTGCATCCTCGCCTCCACATCCTGCCAGGTCAAAGCCTCCTCCCGGATATGCGCAATAGGCTCCTAAAAACACCCCACTCCCCTCAGGTGCCGTATCCTCTCCAAGGTAGACCAGCCCTCTCGTGCTGCATGTGCCTGGTAGGAGTCCAGGAAGAGCTCTATGTTATCATCGTTGAAGATAGGCCTAGACTCCCTCCCAAGCGGTTTGCACGAGTCATCTTCTCCTGACGCTCCCTGAGGCCTCTGTCGTGGCCGCGCGCCCCTCCCGCCCCTCTGCATGACTCTCTTCGAAAAGTCAGACCTGCACAACAGGCGAGAGAGAGCAAGCAGGCACACAACAAGGTTAGCCATCAGTCCCTCAACTTTATGATAGCACACATACCTTTTCCTACTCCCCTACCTGACCTGCCCATAGCATGCAACATCTCGAGAACTAGTTCGTTCTGACGGAAGTAAAGTTATTTACCTATTCCCTGGCCATGAACTTCTTCAGCCTGGTCCCTGATACCCAATCTTGCCAGCCTGTCCCGTCCAGCTCCTCGATCTGATAGGCCCCAAATTCGCCACATCGCAAGATTCTATAGGGCCCCATCCATCTCTTGTCGAGCTTTCTCGACCACTGTTTCTCCAGAGAGGAGTCATACAATAGCACAACGTCCCCTACCGCCAATTGCTCCTTCCTTACTCGCGCCATTTGATCCCACCTCATCTTATCCTCCATGCGGCTTCTCTCTACCTGACCAGCGGCCTCTCGTAGCCTTTCCTCAGCCAACCCCACTTGTCGTGCTCGAATATCGAGCAGTTCTTCGAAGGACAGGTCCACCTCCAAGTCCAGGCGCCTACCCGTCTTCATAAAGCTTTTTATGGGAAAGGTGGCATGCCTCCCATACCATAGTGTGGCAGGCGCATACTTGGTGGTCCTCTTCACGGTAACATTCTCCACAAAGAAAGCCGCTCGCAGGAACTTTGGCCACTGACCAGGCCTGCCTTCCGTCCACTTAGCCAAGAGATTCGTGATGGTACTGTGCCCCCTCTCCACGGGAGCATTCGCTTGGGGGTGCGCGGCCATAGTGTAGTTGGCTACTACCCCATACCCTGCAAGTAGGGTCCGCACCTCATTGCAGGTAAACTCCGATCCCCGATCCATCACGAACTCTTTGACAAAAGGATAGCGCAAGTAGTACTCCACGATGCAGTTGGCCAGAACTGGGCCAGTCTTCGTCCGAATAGCCCGACTGTCCACAAACCCAGTAAGGTTATCCCGTGCATCGAAGATGTAGTTGGACCCATTCTCCCCCACTGGCATGAACAGCAGGTCCAGGTGTACGACCGCACCCACTTCCCTCTCCAACCTTGGGTGTAGGGGCTCTCCGGGCCTTCGCGCTGACCTCTCTTGGCAGGGTACACAGGACTGGCAATACTTGATAACCATCGCCAGCATCCCATCTCAATGGTACAGCTCGCTTATCTTAGCCCATGTGGCACCTATTCCTCTGTGCCGGTTCCTCCCGCATACGATCCTCTTGGGGTTCCCAACCTGCCGCTTTATAAACAAGTGACCGTCTCTTACCACGTAGAGGTGCCTCATCTTCTGTGCCTTGGCACTTGGATTTCCCTCATCTCACATGATAGGAGCAACCCCAATTCCCGGTAGATCCCATCGTACTCCTCCGCCCGAAACGCCTCCTTGATTTCCCCTTCCTCGAATTCATCGTCCTGACTTTCAGGAACTAGAATCTCATCCTCCTCATGACTGAACGAGCCCTTCCGGACGAAGTCTCCTTGCAGGAGCGTATTGGTGAGCAGGTACATACCTCTCATTAGCTGCTCATGCTCCTCTACCTGAGTGGGGCCTTCCTCTATCGTCCTCACTTCCTCCACCAGGCTGTGTGTACAAGCCAAAGCCAACTTCATCATCCAACCAACATCCTTGCTTCCCCACGGATCCTCCTCCTGAAAGGGCTTGAGGACTAATTCTTCCTTCTGCTCGTACCCCTTTGGTGCTAGCCATATGGGGTGACTGACGCAACTGGGCACTCGCAGGGACCATTCGTTTATGTGCAGACGGACGTCCTCCTCTTGATCCAAAAACCCATCAACTGGCGGGGTGTCTTCTATCGATCCCTCGCCCGCTCCGTCCCAGTTGATGCGGCTTAACCCATCTGCCTTGTTTTTATTCCCTGGGATCCTTTCCAACTCGAAATTAAATATCCAAATGTAGGTCAACCATCTTGCGACGGTTGGGTCAGATGGAGTATAATTCTTCAGGGAGCATGCCAGTGCGGTAGGGTCCACCCTCAAGATGAGCCTCCTGCCACAAACATAGTTCTAGAAGGTCCTTAGGCAATGAAGTACTGCCAGCGTCTTCTTCTTGAACTGAGAGTAGTTCCTCTCAGTTGTATTGAGGGTACGACTTTCGAATCTTAACGGCCTCTCCTTCCCTTCAGTATCTGTCTGGATCAGGACTCCTTCCAAGGCAGTTGGCCCGGCGTCCGTTTCAATGACAAATGGTCTCTCCTCCGTGGCCTCATAGTTTGGCGCTCCCAATACCAAGCCTCCTTCCTTAAACTCTCCTTTCATCCTACCGACCGCCTCTTCCTGGTCTTCGCCCCAGACCCATTCCTGATCCTGACGCACCAATTTCCTTAAATGCTCCGTCTTCGTGGCGGTCCTTCACGAAGCTCCTCCAAAATCCGCACGTCCCAAGGAAGCTTCTCACATCCATTATCGAGCGAAGGGGCACTGGCCACTCAAGAATCTTGCCTATCTTCTTTACATCAGGCCTTCGCCCACTCTCATTACAGACAAAGCCTAGGATCGTAGCCTCCCTCATACAATGCTTCGATTTGGGGCCGCTCGCCGTTAGGTTGTGTTCTTCCAATAACCCAAAAACCTGATCGATGTTCTGGATGTGTTTCCAGACAAAGCGCCGCACTCCGGGCATCACTTCGTCCTCCTCCCTCTTCTTTGGACCTTTGACTGCCAGGTCATCGATGTAGGGCTGGGTAATATGTGGGCTAACCGTCTGCATGGCTCTAATCATGTGCCTTTGCACCATCGCCACCGCATTCGTCCAACCTTGTGGCGCCACATTCATATGGATCAGCCCCCTTGGCGTATGCATCGTCGTCACCGGTCTATCTGGCGGGTATACGGGAAACTGGTCATACCCAGAGTAGAGGTCTATAAGCGAGATTATAGGCCTCCCTGCGCATGACTCTGATAACGCGTCCGCATTCGGCAATCCCCCCGCATCCCGCACTGTCACGACATTTAACCGTTGAAGTCCTGCACCCATCGTAGCGTCCCGTTCGGCTTGATAAAGCAGAACCAAGGCGACGCATACGGCCCGCTGGAATAGTCGGCGACGTGCGTGCGCATCTTACCATCCAAGTAGTCCACCACCATCTTTTCTTCGTCCGGATTGGGGTACCGCGCGCCCCTTAGATTCCATGGCTCGTGCGGGACCATGTGGATCCGGATCATTGGGATCTTGTCCACGTCCAGTCTCCCACGCTCGTCGTCACTGAACGCATACGCGCAATGCCTTTTCTTCATCAGCCCCACCATCAAGGCTCTCTCCTGGGGCGACAGGAAGTCGGGCTCTCCGATTATCAGCTTTCCCTCATTCTCATCATTGATACGGCACGGCCCGGTCAACGCGAGCTCCTGCATACGCCGTATCAATCCCCGCTCCCGCTCGTAGTAGGCTTCTTCATCCTCTATAACGAGCACGGGAACTGGGCGGCACTTCTCATTTACGTTCTTGTACCGCCTTTGGGAGCCCTGCTTAAGCCCTCCCCTAAAAAAGGCCAACTTCTCGTTCGGGCCTGGGCCATTGCAGGGCCTCCTCTCCCTCCTGGAAGTCGATACACCAACTCCACCTCTCCCACTTGAGGGTTCTCCAAGATCAGCTCCCTCAATGCCTTAATGGCCTCCGGATCTGCCATGTCACGAGTCGAAACTACCTCCATGGCCTTGTTCACATCCGTGAGGCTCAATGTCAAAACCTCAGCCCTATCTTCTTCCTCGGGCATCTCCCAAGGCCATCTTCGCTCGTTCTCCGACTCCTCGAAGGTGAACGAGCCTAGGTTAGGCCTGTTCCTTTCGCTCCCCGGCCCCGTGTTTCGGCAGGTGATAACTTCATAGTTCCCGCACGTTGGGTCGCATAAGAGTAGGATCATTGTCCCGTCGTGCTTGTTGAAGATTAACATCTCAGTTCTACAAAAGAACGACCTCCCCAGGAGAATGGAATGGTCGACATCGGGCATGACGAAGAAGCATATCCTCGCCCGCACTTTCCCGATCTCTATAATACCATTGGACGCCGTGCCGCAAAAAGCGGCCTTGCAGTTAGCACCGTGCAGCATGCCATGGTCCGCGCGGTCGATCTCCATCCCCATCATCACCGCCTCCTTTTCCCTGATGATGTTCATCTCGGCGCCCGTGTTCACCATCCCAGTGCACTTCTGATTCTTTATCACCAGGTCCACCTATCCACATGCCACACACTTCCAGTCCATCCTCGTTCATGCCTCCGTCCACTCTACCTCCCTGGGCAGGATCGTACTCATGTGGACATTAGGTATTAGCCTCCGCGAAAGCCGTCCCTTCAGTTCGCCCCGGAGCCTCGGTGCCGACGCTAGGATGTCCTTCAGATTCGTCAGATCATTATGGCCCTCCAGGAGCCTATCCACCATCCGCTCCACATCAAAGTCTTTCTCCATCCGAACCGCGTACTTCTTTCTCTTGGGTACGTTGTCGGGCAGGCTTGGCTCGGCTTCCTCCCGCGTCCCTCTCTTCTTGGCCCTTAGCTCTGCTCGCTGATCCTCTTTTTGTCGGAGCCTCTCGTCCTCTTCGTTGTCATCCTCTTCCTCTTCTTCCGGGACCTCCACCACCTCCTTCCTACGCCCCTGCTCAGGCTCCTTTCAAGGGGGTGCCTGACTGGGCGCCTGACTGGGTTCTTGGCTAGGCCCGGCCTTGTTTTGGCTCCTGGTCCGAGCCGCCTGTGGCACCCTCCCATGCGACGTGGGGGGTCTATAGGTCATCCCTGACCTAGGGCCTGTCCCTACAGCCGCCACTCTTGGGTACCCCTGCTGTCCTGACGAAGGCTCAGGTCCGGAGTCATAGAGGAAGACCTCGGGCAGGTTAGCCTCCCACTCTCGGGCTTTCTGACACAGGGCCTCCAGCTTCCGCTGGTACCTCCCCACCTTTTCCAGCAGATCTTTTATCCTCCCCAGTATGACCATGACCGACTCCCCTTCATCCTCCTGCCCCTCGTCATCTGACTCAACGACTATTGGCTCCTCCCTTATAGTCCCCGCCTTTAGTCGCTGGGTAACCTCCTCGCTATCTCCCACAATCTCCTCCACTCTTATGGCCGGCTCTTCTCTCTCCTGCCACATCCTGAACACTGCCGGGGGTGCTGTTGGCCCCGCTGCCGCTCGCCGGAGAGCCTCTTGCCTGATTCCTCCCAGGGTCCTGGGGTCAATATGCTCACCCCACTTGTCATATATATCCCCGTCCATACAGGAGGAAACCAACCCCGCCAACTCATAATCTCGCCGCCGTTGACAGAACCGTATGGTGTGGCCTACTTCGCCACAATGCCAGTAGGTGGCATTTCGCTAGTCAAAGCGGGGCCTCCCATACCCTTAGCCCCGATCCTGGCCACCTCGGCCACCTTGGTTCTGACCCCCCTGACCATTCCAACCACCCCCGTGACCCCCACCATTCCCTTCTCGGCCCCAGCCGCCACCTCCTCGACCTCCTTGTCCTCGGCCTCCACTGCCTGGCCCACCTTGTCCTTGGTTTACTTCCCCTGCCACGCTAGCCTGCGAGGCCTGCTGGGAGGGTGGCGGTTGGGCCACAAACTGGCCTTGGGTTGCGGGGTAGCTTGGGGGCTCCATACTTGCTGACGGGCCGGAATAGGGGACCATCTGTCCAGCATGGGCCTGACTCCCTCCAGAGGAAGTACAGTGGTTGCAACTGGGTCAGGAAGTACAATGTTGCACCCAGTGCCCACAACGTGATGGTGGCCCCATGTGCGAAGGCCCTGCTGACGCTGGCGTTGTCGCGGCGGTAGGTGGCGGGGCAGCAATTGCTTGCGGGGCTTGCCCCTTCCCCGATCCTTGACCCCCTATCTGCAAGTTGCGCTGCTTCCTCTGGGCCTTGGTCAGGATCTGGGAGCCTGTTTCCTCTCCACCATAGTCCTCTCTCCCTGCCTCTTCATCCACCGCCCCGGACGCCCGACCCTGGGCAACAATCACTCCTCTCTTCTGCACCTCCACTTCATCATCATACCCCAATGCCGCCAACACGTCTGTAACAATCTTCTTCACCCCTGGAGTCCCGGACGCGGTGGCATCCCTTTCCTTCCTTTTACGTCTCTGCAGCCGCACCTGATGTTGCTCCACCTGGTCCAAACTCCCTTCCTCTACTCCTTTGTCGATGGTGGCCCAGGTGAGTTTCTCACTTCCCCCTCCGTGACCCGTCAGTTCTGAGGCCTCCGAACCGGTAAGCAGCCCCAGGAAAATGGCACACTGTGTCTCCTCGGACATCCCGTGCACCTTCCTTGCCTTCTTTTTAAACTCGTGCACGAAGGCCCCAATCGTGGAGAAGTCTTCCTTGTTCATTGCCTCCAAATCCCCTATGGTCAGCAGGCCATCCCCCAACCTGTACTTTCTTCGCATCATATCCCTGAACCTCGCCCAACTACCATTGGCGGCATCCATAACCTTGCCCACTTCCTGATGATGGCTATGAAGGACATATCTTAGGACCCGCTGGAGCTTGACCTCATCTGACAATCCCACCAGTGCCTGCTCTGTCAAATCTAGCTAGTCGGACACCCGCTCTCCCTTGAAGTGGAAGGTATCAACCTTCGGGACATTGCTCGGCGCTCTCTCGCGCTTATCCAAGGCATCGATGAGGTCGTCGAGTGTCACGAGCCTTTTCCCTCCGTCCGCCATCCCTTCAGGCGTTTTGACTAACCGCTTTTGGCTTCAACCTCCCTGTTATAAGAAACGACAGGACCAAGGTTCCATTCCGCAGTCCTTTCCACCACGTTCCTATTGGGCAAATCCCTTAAGCGCCCGACGTTCTAGACCTGGCAGACTCTTCTCTTCCTATCTCCCTTAGGCTCACCTAGGTAGGGCCCACCCTTACCATAGAACTTCCCCACACACTCATCTTATTCACACCATCCGCCAAACCACCAAGCAATCAACATTTACGCAGCCATATAGACTACTATACGATCCATCTCACAGTTCTACCTTTATCCACCCATGTGCCTAGTTCTCTCTCAGTCTTATACCCGGATGTCGTTCCACCAGGGACAACGGTAGGCTTCCGTTATCCCCGGCAGCGGCGCCACTTGTCGAGCGCATCAGTTCGGCATCGCACGTGGCAGCGCGGGACCCTCTCGGCCGCGTCCCGCAGGAGTTGGACCAACCTCGTCACGAACACACAAATGGAGCTTCCTTAGGCCGCTCCGGCCGAGTGCGTCAGCCATACCTCTCGCGAGCCCCTACGACAGGATAGGACCTACGCGAGGCATAACTTACCTCCACCTTACGGGAGCTATCACCTCCCTTTGGTGGGCGTATCCCCGCCGAGCTACCAGTCCACAGTACGAAAGCTACTCGGTTGCAATTGAAAAGGTGGACCAGCCGAGGGCGTTTCTCGTTCGCTGTAGCATAGGGGGTACGCGCGGTAATACGCCTATCGGACCCGCACGAGAACCGACATCTTGGGGGGCTGAAGTCCCAAGCGCGGCTCGTCGTCGGTCAACTAGGACGCATCCCACACACCACGCGCACACCACTTTACGAACACAAAAATAACACACACACATGCAGATACAACACGACACAACACAAACAACGCGACAATGCTCCTAGTCCCTCGGTCGCCAACCCATAACTTTCCGATGCAGAAATTAAATAGACGTCGCGCGCGAGACTTAATATAAAATCCCGCGGACGCAGGGCTGACTCATATCGACTCGCAATGCAAACGTACGCAAGCAGTCGCAATGATGGCGTACTATGTAGTGCCCATAATCAAGCGGTCCCTCGTGGATCCGAGTACCGCTTATGACACTCAAGTGTCAGACTCGAAGTGTCGTGAGGATCTAATTCCTCACGACATTGCACGGCTGAAGGAATAGTTGTGCAACCGCCGCGAGACCTCCGGCCTTTGGTCTGAGCGTCTCGGTAGGCAAGGCAAATAGGCTCCGCACGGGGGCAGATTCCTTCCCTGCGGAGTCTAGCGCTTGGGATGTCCTGGACAAGGACCTTGAATCACGACCCAGGACCAACGTCCGACTATAAAACTTCTAAGAAGCAAAGGATAAAAAGGGGGTCTCCCTTTTATCTCAAGCCATAATCTGGCTAGTCCTTGCGCACGATCTTAGTAAGTCGCGCGCATACCCAAGGCACATATAAATATATACATAAGGTTTGTTTATATAGGACGATCACTTCTCACAGTCACAGTGGGGCTCTTTTCAGCCATATATGTATGTAATCGCAGGCAGTCACATCCTGAGTCCGAACCACAAACATACCTGCAATCACATCAAAGATTCAACAAGAATCCACGCACTACACGAGGTCAACTTCAACCATTCCTTGCACTCATACCCCTCGCTTTAGCCATACAAGCCTCACTCGTGCAACTCTTAAATAAATACTCAGTACTTTTGTTGGATGGCCATTCAATAAAGTCCGGGTGAAAACGCAATGAAACAATTCAAACCACAAGGTGAAAGCCTTTAGGTTGAGTAACAGGAGTGGATTGGAGTTGAATCGCAAACCGACGAATCGGCAACCGACCTGTTATCAGTGAAAACAGAAGATGATCCTTGTAGGATCAAGTTGAACCTAGTCCAAGTCCTGAATCAAACGGTCTAGAGGACCTGTAACACAAGACAGGTCAATCCCCAAGCTAAATCTATAAGTCAATGGAGAATAATCCCCATATCACGATCTTACTCAAATCATCCTGATTAACTAAGCCTAAGTCTACCTTTAAGCAGTGCCCACAACAAAGGTAGACCCTGGTATAATCTCCCCTATACAGGGTGGATCGCCAGAATCGCCACCTGTCAAAATATAATATAACTCCTTTTAATCAACAAAATTTCAGCAGCGCTTCCCGTAGGAAAATTGCCTTTTCAGAATTTATATCAGCCCACATATAAAACCATAAATAGTATTTGACTTCCCAAAGCCCAATTTTGTCTAACTCCCTGATTTAGCAAAAATTTGGGCAGCACTCCCCTTAGAAAATGAGACTTTCCAGATTCTTACTAAGTTATATATAAACTTTAGACAAGTTGAACTTTGACAAGTCAAAATTCGACTAACTCCTTGGATTTGCAGAAATTTTGGCAGCGCTTCCCGTAGGGAAAGTAGCTAACCAAAATTTTTACAAAGCCAAGTATAACAAAAGATCCCAGAGAAATGCAGAAATCGATCTAAGTAAAAAAAAACTAAGCTCAGAAAATGCATGAATCGACCTAACTCCTATCGCTCCAGCACGTAGCGAGCTTCTAAAGCAACTATCTGTCAAACTGAATCTCAGACCAAGTAGTAGCCTCACTCAGCCACATGCAATGCCAAACCACAAAGGTAAGTACTCTCGCCACCCCAGGTCAAACTTTGCAAACAATAGTTCGTAATCTCTCGATGCTTTATTCCCTTATACCCACCTTACATAGGGCATAAAGCCAAGCCGTCCAATCTTGGGGAACCTGCCTGACTCAGCCATTGAGTATACACGAACAGGTCGCACAACTACTTCTCTCTTCCTTTTGGGCATATGACTAAGCCGTTCATCTTAGAATAGGCTCAGCCGCCCCGAACTGTTTAATATCCAAATTTATATATATCTTT